CTGACTAGTAGAAGCTGAGTCCTGACTAGTAGGAGCTGAGTTCTGACTAGTAGAAGCTCAGTACTGACTAGTAGAAGCTGAGTCCTGACTAGTAGGAGATGAGTCCTGACTAGTAGGAGCTGTGATCTCTTTGTGTTGGTCAGTGGAACAGCAGTTTTTATTTAAACAACCGAGGGAGGCGTCCAATTCCAACTGTTTTAATCCCCCAAATTAGCATGCGATGATTCATCTGCATTACTGGCAGCTTTCATAGTAGTTAGTGAATTCTTCATCATGCAGACACAATGTGTTGGCCTGCTATGGGATGGTGTTTTATGCGACCTCTGCTAGTAGCTACAGTGCTACTGAGTGAGCCTCAACTCCATGACACCACTCATCCCACTCAGGTTGATTTTAACAGTACTGGTAGGAGTGGTGCTTAACGCTCAGTACCTGTAGCGGTGTGTGTTTTTGTTCCTGTCGGCTTTTGTTTTTTACTGAAATACAAAATCGTGCAGCTCTATGGGAACATCACAACCATGGCTAGAAGGAGAGAGGATTCAGAAATGTCTTCTGTGCAGGATGATATGGTTATGGTGCCATAAACCATAAAACTAGTAAAGTAAAATGTCTTAAATAATTGATTTTTACAAAAAAGTTTCATTTAAAAACCTGGAAACTGAATATACAAAACCTTTCCAAGTGCCCACAGGTGTGACCAGCACTAGAGGGGGCGTACACACTGCAGATATTTTACTACTTGCATTTTTAACCTGTTTCCACACCTGTCTCCTCTCTGTTCTGTACAAACACAGCCTCTAGTTCAGCTAAAAAGTGAAGTTTCGTCACGCGACTGCTGAGTCTCTGTTGCTCCACGGTTTGGTTAAGAAGCACCGATTTTTGTCTGTTTTTACAGAGTATGATTATAGAAAGCTGCTGGTGAATTTTTAAAATGACAAATGTAGAACAAAGTGATTTTGTGGAAATATTTAGGATTCGTTTTCACAGATGAAAGAACTGCTGGAACATTAAAAGTCCAACAATTCTTTGTGTCTTTCAAACATCCATCCATCATCTCTACACCTTAATCCTCACTAGGGCCATGGGGGGCTGGAGTCTATCCCAGCTGACTCAGGGTGAAGGCAGGTTCACCTGGACAGGTAACCAGTCTATCACAGGGCTACACTTAGAGACAGACAACCAAGCACACTCACATTCACACCTACGGACAATTTAGAATCACCAATTAACCTCAGCATGTTTCTGGACTGTGGGAGGAAGCCGGAGAACCCGAAGAGAACCCACGCTGCACGAGGAGAACATGGAGACTCCACGCAGAAAGACCCCGGTCCCAGGCGGGACCGTGAACCGGGGATCTTGTAGCTGTGAGGTAACAGTGTTAACCACTGACCCACCGTGCAACGACATTCTCTATGTCACAGAAGGGAAATTATTCATAGACTTCACAGACCAAAGCATTCTCCTAAAACTGCTTCAGTGCAGCAAAAAAAGTATCTTTGGAGTTGTTTAAAGGTGTGCGTCGAGGATATTTTGGCTCTACTTTTGCCCCCACAGATCTCTCCCAAAGCTTGTTTGAAGCCTTGAAGTTGCCGCAGCAGGAGTTGCAGCCGGGGAGCCCACCGTCCCCCCGCCGGGCTGTGAGTGTGGGGTCTCTGCATTGTTGCAACATCACAGAGGCTTAGAGTGCCCCCCACCCCGTGGCTCCTGCTTTTATGTGCTGCACCCTCTGAGAGCCTTGTCTTTTTATCTGGCAGCATGCATGGCGGAGTGCCCTACCTGTGCCGGGACCGCCGGCTTCATTAAGCGTTTGACTTCCAGTCGATATCTGATGGTGCATCTTAATCAAGGAGCTGCAGGACCCCACAGCAGGAACTAACCTTTCCTTCAACTAGCTTTTTAGCTTGTGCATTCACTGGGAGCTGTTCTCATTATGAATCAAAAGCAATCAATAGTCCTTAGACAGAGGCATAAACATGCACACGCAAGTATCATGAATCATCCAAAATGGAGTATGAGGTAGAGAAAATAAAACATCGATGGGCACTGTGTCATGCGCACGCCATTTATACACTCCAGTATTTTCCTAATCACTATTGAATAACTATCTTGCAGCCACTTCCTTCTTTGCCAATAAACCTGATGGATGTGAAGAGCAGATGAAGAAAAATGTGGCTGCTCTGAGGCTGATCCGAGAATCAAATTAGTGACAGAAAACCACTTTAGAATGACAGACAGACGGTGGGTTGAAGGGGACGTGAGTGTTGGTGTGGTTTGTTAATGCTCCACAGACAGCCTCGACGCTCTCTCCTATTACCTTTGTCGCAGCCATTCATGCCCATCTTGCTTCCATCTGGACACACGTTGCACTTCATGCCCTTCACTCCCGTCTTGCAGGAGCACAAACCCGACATCTGCTCGCAGTCATCCCGCACCGAGCCTGTGGCGTCGCAGTTACATGCTGCCGTGGAGAGGTAGAGGAAACAAGGAGGAGAGGACTGATGAGGAAAAAAGCCATCAATTAGGGACAGTAGCAGGAAGAGGGGTAAGTTCTAAAGTGTGCAAAGTGTGTTTGAAAGCAGCCTTAGCCTCTGTGCTTCGCTGGAGACACGTCTTTGTCTAGGAGTCAGGGGTTGGGAATAGTTCATCCAGCCTTAGGGCCCACAGAGGGAGGAGAAGGAGGAGGAGGAGGACGTAACAGAAACTCAGGAAAACAACCTCAGGGAAGGACATCAACCCCATCATGTTCCTGGAATCAATGATGTCTGTTTTTTCCTGCTCCTCTCCTGCTGAACGTGGTATTGGCGTGCAGTGTGCTGTCTGCTTGCTTTGGGTAAACCTTGTTAAGGTCAGGCCACGGGTGAGGCACCTGCAGGCTTCCTGCTGTTGACTGAAAATGCTCTGTGGCTTTGGGAGCGTATGTTCTATGATACCTCAGCGGCAGGATACGAGCTGGTCACCATATTGCATTACACCAAGACAAACCAGGGGTCCTGACCTTGTTCTTTACTTGAATACAAATGAGTCCATTCAATACAGCTTTGACGGGACTAAAGGACGCAGTCATTCTACAGCAAGTGGCATCAAACAGTGAAGCTCTGTTTCAGGCGGTTTAACTGGTTGGCAATCTACCATTTTGTCTACACAGACTTTATAGAGATTAAGCTCCTTAAAAGGTTGGCTGAGATGCTATAAGTGCTATTAATCTACGATAAATGTGTTTCCTCACTTACCTAGAGTGGACTCTGACCTGGTTTCATTTAGATGGAAATTAGCTTAAAGCTAACTCTGGTGCACCAAATGGTAACATCTATGTTTAATATTGTAAATGGTCCCTTTTTAAATAAACTGATAATAACACTTCTAATACTACTACTACTACTACTACTAATAATAATAATAATAATAATAATAACAATAATAATAATAATGATGATGATGATGATGATGATGATGATAATAATAATAATAATAATAACAAACAGGTTTTTCCAGATATCTGGCTTTTTGTTTGAGTTTTATTCCTATGTAGTTGGTGCACTGTGTTTGGTTCTGTTAAAGAAAATAGAAGGGGGGGGATTTCTTTCCGGAAGCGATAGATTAATCAGAGGACATTATTACAAGACACTTAAGAACCAAACAGGTCTGTGCATGGTCAGGACAATATGTTTAGTATTTTGGGTGAACAGATCCTGTCTGGACAATGAAAGGATGCCATTAGCAATATCAGGAGAAGGAATAAATTACAATGCATACAATAACTGAAATAAACTACGTTTGTGCCGTCAGCACAGATACAAAGAACGGGTTCCTTACGTGTGCAGCCGCTCATATTCTCCGTCACAATGCCTCGGAAATTCCAGAAGCCCGGTTCACAGCGGTCACACTTCTGCCCGCCGACGCCCGGCTTACAGGAGCACTGGCCAGTGGTGGGGTCACACGTCCCCTTGTAGGAGCCGTAGAGGTTACACTGGCAGGTACCTGAAGAGAACACAGTCATGCGGACGCCACTTTTAACCTCTGCCGGGTCACTCAGAAGCACTCCGTTATTGCTATTATTGATGCTTTTCTGACTTTGACAGAACAAATTGTCAGGTAACCTCTGGCCGTTGGACACCGCTCTCCTCTGGATAGTCTGTATTTCAGATTTCTGCTAGGCTCAAATGTTGGGTAAGCCTGATTTCCCAAATAAATAGGTGGATAAAGTGAGCTTTGGTGCCTTTCCCCTTTTCTAAATCTCTGTATATCCTTATTTCTGCGTCTGCATTTTCTCCATCCGTACTGAACCCGGTGGCTAACAGCTTGGTGCAGCAGTTTCTCTTCCATCTGTGTACTATCATTTGTCAAGATCATCAGATGAAGAGATTTTTCTGTTGATACAGTGCGGCATTATCATAATTATTCCTTGGATTAAGATGAAACGTTTTCTGCTCTGCAACTTTGGAACTGTAATTGCAGTCAAGGACAATAAGCCTCATATGCGGCAGCAGCCCGATCGTATCTACAACGAGTGCACGCAACCAAGTCAGGGCGCGCTGAAGGCAAAGGGTCAGAGTGGAACTTACTGGGACATCCGGCCAGTCCAACTCCTAAGGCAGCCGTCACGTTGTCGGAGCAGCAGCCGTACACAGACAGGCTGCAGTGCTGGGGCGCCGTCAGCTCCGGCAGGGAGATGGCTGAGTTCGCTGATGAGGTAAACGGGGAGGGGAGATGGAAGATGGCACAAGGAGGAAAAAAAGAAGAACACCAGCATTTGAGTGATTACTGCGGGGTGGGGTTTGGTGGGTGGCGGGGATAATACAACGCAATCTCTGAGCGGCATGTAACTTTTTTGCCAACAATGTGATTGGCTGGAGGGGCAGAGGTGGAGAGGCTGGCAGCCGGCTTCAAGATAACAATTCTATTTTCTACTTGCTCCACAATGGCTCAAAATCAGGGGGAAAATGATGCTATTACCTCCAGTGAAAACAAACAATGGCATTTCTAGTGAATGTGCGGCAGCTGACATTTACCACCTACTAGGAGGCATGTTCTCTTCATTTGTTCTTGTCTAATATTACGGAATTGCACTGCCGCCCTACAACCTTCCTTAAAAAAAGGAAATAAATAAATAAGAAAAAGAAAAGCCCGCTGCATAATGTGAAGGAATGCGCCCAGCAGTTTGTGCTTGCACGCGGTGTGTGGAGAGCTCCTTTGTCTACGGATGCTCCAGCCGCCAGACTACGGCGTGACAGCCCCGAACACAAGAGCCGCGTTCGACAAAATAAAAACAAATGAGTTCCCAAACCTGGCGCTTCTTCAGAAATTGGAAGGGAGCAACCAAACATACAGTGGGTGGAAAAAAAGGGGGTTTGTTTAATGGCCAAGGCAGAAATATCATTGTTCACATTCTCTACAGACTTTGGAGTGAAAAGTAAAGTTGTAGATAAAAAAAGAGAAATCTTTCCCTCCTTTATCTCTGTCTCTCTCTATTCGCCTCCCAATCTCCCTTTCTTGTGTTGCTCATTTAGAGTTTGGAGGCTGGAGATACAGGGGCCATAAATCACACTGTTACTGGTGTGGATATGAGCCTTAGCCTAATGGTGATGACTCGGCTCGCTCTTTTCCAGTGCTTTCCTACTCCAGAGATGGGCTTTGGACACAGTTCATTTAACTTGCCACTTTCCAGCGCTCCATTCAGCTATCTGTACTGAGCCTATTAGGACAAGGAGAACTTTTAATTTCATATGTTCTTACACCCTTCACAGGTTTTTCCTCTTCAGTGGCGATTGTCCGGCACAATGCAGCTCACTGTGATGTGCAATATTACCCTCGCATTTTCACGCTCTGCAGCAGGGCCTTCTCGCCGCAGTCATTCTCGATAGTCTTATGCCTGCAAGGCCACAGCTGCACGTGTCTGCGTGTCTAGCAAACCAACAAATATTTCTTTGGATTATATTGAAATCCCTGACCCAGATTTGAATTTGCATTAAAGCTTTGTTTGAAACGCTACGAGAGGGAAACTTTACCAATGTGCATGCAGCAGATGACGGTGTTGACGCTGTATGCAGAAGAGGCACTTTTTCAAACTCAGAACCTCTAAAAAAAAAAAAAAAAACAAGGTTGCTTTCATGCTCGGCAAGAGGGAGCTGGCGTGTTTTGATAAGTTTTGGGAGTTGAGGTCAAATGAAGTTTCTCCTTACATAGCTAATGTGGAGGGCAGCGAAATTCCCCAAGATCTGAGTTTTTCCATTAGCCAATAGGAGAGGAGAACCCAGAGGTCTTGTTCCCATAGAGGGCCCTTCAAAAAAGGATTGATTATCCATGGATGGTAGAGAAGCGTGACAGTCAGTGCCCAAGGAGGCCAGCTTAGGAAGGAGAAGAATCTGCAGGGATGTGTGTGAAAACACTGGCAGCTCCCTCATTCTCACTCTCTTCAACTCTCTCCATCCTTCTCTCTTTTAGACCCACGGGGAATCAAACAGGCTGCAATGATCACACAAAATCCCTTAAGTGCCTTTTCCTCTGCTCCCCGGCCTGCACCAGCAAAGGCTCTTATTTAACATAGTCATCGAGAGGAAGAGGGTTAACCTTTGGTGCTTCGCCACTGATCTGACAATTATTCTGGCTGATAACTGTCATTCATTACACGCAGAAAGAGGGCGTTCGTATTCAAGTAAGTGGGGCAAAGTGGTGTCCTGGGGGTTAAGAGGCAAGCTTGTGAGCACAAGTTCAATGGCTTAAATTGCGCGAGTGTCTGGGTGGAAAACGTGAATCATTACTGTTATCAGCCCAGCGCACACATGTGCCCGTGAGAAACAGTTAGAAGTCTGCGCACTCGCCGGCCCCAGAGGACCGGTCAGCTTCCAGATACGATCGAGAAAAAAAAGTTGCGAGCGCGTTGAGTCAGCTCCCCCTGAGCAGACTACGCAGACACACAAATCGCATTTCAGATTGACCTTCATCATTTCACTTGATTACGGCTGCAGCGGTCACACGGAAGGAAACAACAGCGGTGCTTCAGCTTGATTCCATGATTAGCCGTGAATGGATGAATGAATGGAGAAATGGGATGTCGGTGACAATGAGTCTTGATGAGGGTGCTTGTGTAATGACAGTAACGGTGGATGGTGCAATGTACAGACCTGTGCAGGGTCCCTGATTCTGAATCAACAAGTGCTCTTGTTTCTCACATCTGGCCTTTTTCAGCTCGCACTCGTTGCTGTAGTTTTTTCCATCTGAGCCACAGATCTACAAGAGAATTAGAAAAAGCAGAGTTTAACACAATGAACTCAAGGCTCTGTGCTGCGTTTCACTTCTGTCAGGCTCAGTCACAACATGTCTCGGCTCAGGCACACCCTCTGTCTGGTGTGACAGACCGCTCACCTTGGAGACACATCAGTACTTAAGAAAAACAGTCACAGGTAAAGTTAACACAGTAAGCACTGCACTGAGACGTGTGATGACAGCTGAGTCACATCGATGACAACTAATCACCCTGCTGCTGATGGAGACTGGAAGGTGAACTAAAACCTTGAGTTAAGATGGTCGTTACCTGCAATTGTAATAGTAAAATATAAGATTAGATGTCAGCTTCATAGACCTCTGAAGGCATCAAAGTCCTGGAAGACATATGAGGTGGGGCCTCTGTGGATTGGACTTATTCTTCCAGCACATCAGTTAGATTGAGAAATCTGGAGGGCAGCTCAGAACCTTGAGCTCTTTGTCATGTTCCTCAAACCATTCCTGAACAATGTTTGAAGTTCTGGAGCGAGCTTTATCTAGAAGGAGCCACGACCATCCAGGAATACAGTCACCACGAAGCTGTGATGAGAAAAGTTCACATGGGGCGCTGCTGGTTGAGCCGGCGTCCCATGTGCAGGGCTACAGTCCCGACGTGGAGATCATGAGTTCGAATCCCACTCATGGCTCTTTCCCACATGTCCTCCACCCCCACTTTCCTGTCTCGCTCTCACTGCACTATCAATAAAGGCACAAAGGCCAAAAAATAACTTAAAAAGAAAAGTTAACATGAATGCGGGACCCAAGGTCTCAGCAGAATCCTCTCCACAGCATCACACTGCCTCTCCTGGCTCCCCTTTGTCCAACCCTGCTGTCATCTCCTCCTTAGTTAAGTGACTAACTGAACTCCACTGTCCATGCCCCTAATGTTCCAGCTCTGGACAGGTGTCGGCATAGACACTGACAGGTCTGCAGCTGTGAGGCCACATACGAGCTGTGGTGTTCAGCTTGTGACAGCTTTCTATCAGGACCTGGATCACAGTTTGTGCACCAGCAGCAGAATCCCTCCACACATGCATCAGTGAGAGTCGGACTCCTCTGGGCCTGTCCTCTGGGCAGGGACAACCTCTGCACAACACAAGACCTGCTGTTCTGGAGATGCTATGACCCAGCTATCCACTCTTCTCAAAGTTACTTTACGCTTGCCCACTTTTCCTGCTTCCAACATTTCAACCCCCAGAGCTGCCTGTTGACTTGCTTCCTAACATATCCCACCCACTGACAGGTGCCACAGAAACTAGATAATGAGTTGTTCATTCCACCTGCCAGCGCTCTTCATGTCATTGGCTGTTGGTGTGCATCATTGTCAGAGACATACAGCATGTAAGAACCATGTTCACACGACACTCTGAGCCTTAGCATGACGACCAAACAGTGTCAAACAAACAAACAAACTGGTGTTCAGTCATTGTGTCGGTGCTCGTTCTTTGTTTTTCTCACTTGCATGAATATATTGAGCATACAGAGTTTAACAGGAATGACGGAGTGAGTTAGCAGAGAGCTGCCTGCTGGGCTACATCTGAACCTGCCTTTTTACCTCATAGTTATTCATACTGTCAAATTTACACTAAGAAAAGCAGCTCCTGTCGCATTGTTACAAGAGACACACAGACAAATATCATCTGGATTCCTGTCGAAGGGAAAATGAAGGAAAACTTTAAATTATAGGTGTATTTAAAACTAGCATTTCTAAACAGATTTCTTCTTGATGAACTGTGGCTGTGCAGCTATCACAGGAAAAAACAATGAGTGAACAGCAGCAGGTGTCTGATGTTTGTGTGGCTTTGTGACGGCGGCTGTACCTGGTTGTGAGGTACACTCTGGCAGGTGAAGTCGCAGACGCAGCGGTCGTCCTCTGCATCCTCGTCCCACGAGCCTCCAAACATGCGACAGCGGTCCTGTTCACAGCTCTCTGCACCTGAGCCTGAGCCTCCTGAGCCACAGTCTGCAAAAAAAACCACATGCAATCATTAATAAAACATGCACACACACACACAAGGGACATGCCCCTTTGCTCCTGGTGTTATTCCTCTTTAACCCTCTGAGGCCCCTGCAGTGTTTCAGTGTTTTTATTCCTGTCACCACGTTCTTCGCTGCGACACAAAGTCCTGTACCTCTATGGAAACAACACGACCACCGCTAGAAGTAGAGCCATCTCAGACATATCCTACATGTTCTGACAGAGCAGCGTGTCACAGAAGACGAGTCCAACAACTGAATAAAAGCTAAAACTCTCATCATTCTTCCTGTTATTACAGTTTCTGCCTCATTTTGGCACTTTTTTAAAAAGAAGACATGCCTTTTCAACGTGCCAGCAGGCTTTTGGGGTTCAGAGGGTTATGTAAACTCATATTTACGGATCATTTATATTTCCCTCACGCCGGTGACGGGGAAACGGCACCAAAGATAATGACCAACTGGAGCGAGGGGGGCCAGAGATTGACTAAATAAATGAGACATCTCTGCACCACCGGTCAAGTCGCCTTTTTAAATTCAATTAAGTCAGAAACAAAAACGGGAGGGAATTATTAACTCTGGCCTCCGAGAGTGCAGAGAGGATCGGTGGCGAGGCGACTTTATGGGTGCCTGCCTCCCGATATGAGACGGCAACTAATTGCAAAGCGTTGTGTAAAATCTAATTATCTCCTGAGACTTTAAAGGAAGTTGTGGCAGCGACTCTCAGACCCTGAAAGGCGTTTTGTTTGCCGTAAAAGTGCACTTCTCTGTATTATACTCAAGCTTTTCTTATGTTGCAGGTAAAGAGGCAGCAAGGACAAACACAATCCCCTCATCACTTTTCAGGATTTGTAGGTTCACTCAACTTTTTTTTACAAGAAATACAACAAGGAGAGAAAAAACAAACAGTTTCGTTTAAGAAAAAAACTAATCTGGGCTATTGTAAAGTGCAGACGAAGAAGTGGGAGGGTCCCGCTTTTGAAGTTGAATTTCCCCGACAGTGGAACTCCTGGAGGAGATTAGGTGGATGTGCACGAAGGCAGGAATGAAGGGAGTCAGCACGAAAGACGGAGAGGATGTCAGGCAGAGAGAGAGGCACCCCGGGGCTCGCAGAAAGTTAAATTTGCTATTCAAAAGAGGAATGCAGTCCAACTAAAAGCTCCCAGTGCTGCTAAAAAACTGAAAAAAACCCCCCTGTGTAATCAAGGTGCTTCTTCCTGTTCTTGTCTTCTTTTAGGACTCATTCAGCTCTGCGTATTGATGCGCCACCTCTAATGGTGAAATCAATGTCCTCATGATGGAAGTAGCACTTAGCATAACCCGTCTCCTAAAGCAGATTACGGTCACAGTGCAGGGGAGGGCAGATGGAGCCCTGCTAGTTCCTGGGTTTGGGTCATCAGCGATGAGACATCTGAGAGGTCGATACAGTGGAGGAGCCATTATCTGTGGACACTATGGAGGAGCTGGAGGTCCATGAGGCCGCGTCCACCACAAACATCAGGACTTGTTAAGGAGCTCAGACCTCTAATACATTTGCCGTTGTAGCAGCTCATTGATTGTGAACCACAGTCTGAATGAAAAATTACAGGTTGTGACGGAGCTAATGGTCTGTGTGATGGCTTTCAACTGCCAATAACATTAGCACAGGTATTTAGGCTCAGATGGCATCTGAAAATGAGAAGTCAGTCGAAGGCAGAAGAGATCATAAGAGAGTGAAGCTCGGCCTCCTGTATCTGCTCGCCGTACGGCGGCACAGCAAGGAACGGCAGCCGAGAAGCACCGGAGCAGCCGATTCATATTCCGCTCAGGCCCCCTCGCAGAGACAAGATAAATAAATAAAAGGACATTAGAATGGAATAAATAAAAATGAAGGGCGGAGGGGGGTCCTAATTAGCTGCTGTTCTTTGATGTGCCCGCCACCCCCGCTGCCTATGAACCTTTCAATTAATACGTCCCCAGCTAAGACGGCTGCATCAGCTATTCTCTCTGCACTGTCCATCCGCTGCTTTTACTCAGTCCTGTCAGACGCCAGAGTCTATTTAACCAGGAGAGCTCCATTAGGAAGACAGACCTCAGCAGCCGAGGAAACAAAGGAGACGAACAGCACAAGAATAATGTCCAGGAAAATATAGAGACCATTTAAAAGTAGAAATAATTGAAGTGTTGGAGAAGACCCTACGGTCAAAGCTCTGCTGAATGGTGTGCTGTTAACCCTCTGAAGGCCAAAACCCACAGACAGGTTGTTGTTTTTCTTTTAAAATGACACCATTCATCCCAGTCTGAAGCTGTACAAACAGTTACTGACTGGTGTTGTTCCACTGAAAAATAAAACACAATCTAAGCTTGAAAGCAGTGATATCTCATCAAATTCCTGTGTTCTGCATCTTTCATTCAAAAAATAAATGAGAGATGCAGTAAAAAAAATTAAATAAAAAAAGAATAAATAAGATTTAAACAACAAAATATTCTGGGCTTCACGGGTCAAAGACTCAATGACACTGTGGATGGTCTGAAAGCAAATTAAAATGGGATTATTAAATATTTATAGTATGTAGAGGCACCTTTCAAAGATATATTTCTATTTTATTTCTATATTAAAATGTATATTTTTATGTTTGTATATGTTTGAAAAATTTAAAAAAAAACGTTGAAAAATGTTGCATATGTTGACTCCAGGCTTTTCCAATATTTGTAAAACTAATAATTTAAATTATAACTTGGTAACACTACACACAACATACAGTTCAGTTTTCTCTACTTCTGGCCATGGCTGTACAGAACATGGATCAATAACAGATGATAACGGACTGAAACCAGCCTGAGGATGTTTGGTCAACATCAGCATCAGCGGCTCCACATGTCTTGACCCGAGTGGATGTTGTCTGCAACTAATCCTACCTCGTTAAGGTGGGAGTCATAGAAAGGATCCCAAATGACAACAGCATGTGCTGAAGGATGCAGCGAGCCTTTGTTTTTATCTCCCGGCTCCTTGTTCGGCCTGCTCTGAACTGGTGGGATAGCTCATTCAAATAACGCTCCCAAAAGATTAAGCGGGACGTAGCGTCACAGCCGGTGGGAGGAAGGGATGGTGTGTTTGGAGGTGGTGGAAGGAGAGAAGAAGTTTTGTGGCTTCAGCAGAAGGTTACAGCTCTGTGATGGATGGACCATGAAGGCAAACATGGGCTGATCTCCATACAAGCGGCTCTCTTCTCACCCAGCCACACACCTCGCGGTGCTCGTCATGCCCTCTCCTGTGGTTCAGAACTCGATCTGATCGCCGTGATGCGTGGAACAGGGCGTGGACGTGCATCCGTCTGTGATCCCGCTCTCATGATCTTGTTTATTAAATGTGTATTCAATTAAAAAGGGCCGAGGGCCCCCGTAGGTGATGCACTGCTCTCAGTTACCACTTTGTCAGTGTCGAGGAAAGGAGCTGAGGCCAGGCCTACCCGAGTGTGAAATTAAACAGGTGATAAATTTCCCTGTATGGCCAACAGTGGGAACACTGTCATTTTTCATTACTGCTAAATAAAAGGCGGGAGAAAACAACTTCCATTTTTATGCTATGTGCCCCCTCCTCCCACAAGACTAATGAGGATGGTTTTTAAGGCGAGTCCACGTAAGTACATAAATCACATGTTCAATTCCTCTCCAGGCTTATCTTGGATTTGAAGCACAGTGTGTGTGTGTGTGTGTGTGTGTGTGTGTGTGTGATGTACAGCTTTGTTGCTGTCTGCAATAGAGCTACAACATACAGTATTACACTTTGTGACACGGTGCTATATTACACAATATATACTCCTAATTTGGCAAAAACCCACCACTCATACATCCAGGCAGCAGTGAATATATCAGCAACACCATCCGTTCTAATGACACGTAGCCACAGAGAAACAGCACAACAGACATTTCAGAGGGAAAACCAGCAACTTGGTTTTGGCTGTTTTACATTCACACCAGACGTCCTGTGGAGGGTCTGGGGCAGATTTGAGGGGGCTGAAGGGAAAGAGCCTGCAGAAAGAGACAGAACTAGTGGTTGCCCCCAGGGTGAAATTTATCGATTTCAGACGATCCCATCTCCACCCCTATCTGTGAAAGCATTGGTGCCCCTTTTGTCAAGAGGCACAATTTTGACGGAGAACAGTGCAAAATGGAGAGACATGAGTGGGTGGGACAGCAGGGAGCAACGGGGAGCGCAGAAAAAAAAAAAAGAAGAAGATTCTATTGTGTAAGCCTGATGGTTTTCTCTGAATCAAAATGAGCAAGTGATGAAAAAAAGGAGGATGTTCAGAGACAATATGAGAGAGCGAATAAAATCGAAAAACGAAGCCATCAGGCACCACAAGCAAACCGGTGCCCTTGGGGAGGTAGATGAGAGTATTCTGCCAGATAACAGAGAACCAGCCGACACTGAGGGCTGTGTGTGCGCCGACAGTCGGTCTACATTGAGGCCATACAGTTTCGCATTTCTTCATGCTCCACATACAAAAAAGGTCACTCATCTCAGTCAATGGAATGATGTTAAATCAACCACAAGGAGCTTTGGCGGGACGATTCGCCTCGCAGGCCCGGGGCCGCGAACGGCAGGCAAGGGTGGGAAGATAAAAGAGGGAGAAACACCCCTAGCTAGCAATCAAAATGGAAGTGAATTCCCCTCATCTCTATTTGCTCTGTCCTCCATCTACCTCCCCTTTCTTCTCTCCAGCCATCCCTCCTGCTGGCAGGTGTAATCTGCTCCCCTTCACACCTTGTCAGAGGATGACTATGTTCAGCCTGATGACCCACTTGCCACAGGGGAACAGCACCGCCACTGTCTGCATGACAACCAGAGGTTGGCATGTTTCTCCCTCCAGAGCTGTCCCCAAGACGGGCTGAGTGAGGGACTGCGATATCCTGCCTTGGTCTGTCAGCGCTGATCAAGATATGATCTGCGTGCTAAATTAGATCTCATTTAAACAGAACGGAGGAACGACGGAGCTACAGGCGCGGAAATCAGGGATACTCACATTAAGTGCCATCAGTCACACATTTAAAAGCCTAATTGGATAGAAGTGCTTGACAAAATGTGTATTGTTGCTGTCACAACACAAACCAGCACAGCTGAGCTCCTGACAAAAGCCAAGTAAATATCAGGGCCTATGCTGCACATTCAGGACAACGCTCATGTGATACCTGCCAGCTCACAGATTTGAATTTTAACAGATATAATATTCTTATTCACTACCTTTGGTCACCTACACTTTGTTTTAGCTGAAACGGAGCTGTGTAGAAAGGTTATCAATCAGCTCCAGGGATAAAAAAAACAAAACTCTGGTGTCTTTGTATGTCTATAAAAGAATCACAACTGTTTGGGGTAGAGCTGAGGACAGGATGGTGATGGTGGATTGTTTTATTGGAACATTTGCAGTAAGATGACATTAAAAACGCTATCATTAAAATGGCCAATTCACCAACAAAAAAAAAACTTTGGACAAAACAGAACATTTCCAGCGCGTAGGCTGCTGCCCAGAGGTTGTTGTTTTTGCTGCAATAAAGTGAAATTTGAAAATGGAAACACGTAGAAACAGAAATGGGTGGAGAAAGCTAACGGCAAAGTTACACCTGCAATCTGGTGAACTGGACCAAAAGTATCACAACCCTGAATGAAAACACTGGCAAAGGAGGACCTCTTGTCATTAATGGCTTTTCATTTACTGAGAAAGAAAGTAAAAATAGGAAAAGACCCATAAACAACAGCTGCAGCAAATAAGAGCAAAAGTATGTTTGAACAAACAAGACAGCCGATGAGTTGGTTTTAAAAAAAATCCAGCTGACCTGAACTTAATCACCCAGAAGCAGTTTCTGTTCCTGCAGCAGGTTTTGTTGATGGATGCACACTGTGACTTTTGCAACGTTGGACCACCAGCACAGTGCTGGTAGCATATTTTAGCATTATGAAAATCCACAGATGACTAAATACTGTAGCACAGGTCAGTGGATAAAGATGATTACACCACTTCAATGGCCGATTGGTTAACATAATTACACCATTTCAAAGTCCATTTCCTACCTTCATCACAGCTGCCGGGCTTTGCCACATCAATTCTCCTCTTTTGCATGCAGGAGGACACGCGGAGTTCACACTCGTTGTCATAGGTGGTGCCATCACTTCCACACACCGGGGAGTGGGCCTCGTCTGAGCACTGCGGGCACTCACACTTATTCTGGACACACCTGGCGCCCCAGGCACACACAGTGCTGCCGCATGTTTCTGGATTAGACACACAGCAGAGGGACGGGTCAGAGCAGCCGGGTCAGAGATAAGAAGGAAATATATTGTGATGGATCTGATCCACACAGACACTGAAAGGACCTCTGGACTAGATATTTACGTCACATTTCTCTTTTCTTTTACTAATTGTCATGCATGCAACTTTTAGAAATAGAATTAGAATAAAACTTTATTGATCTCTTAACCTCAGGGAAATTGCTAGGAATTATAAATAAATTATACATTTTAATAGGAATTAAATATAAACACGTTCCTTCAGTGATGCTACGTCTGAGTATCAGTTAGCATTTGAACTATTCATCTGCAGCTGTACGAGGTTTGGGCTCTATTTTTATCTTTCATATTCACATTTAATGTAGCTGTAACTGTTCCACCTCGAAATGTCATGCATTTCACTTCAGGTCTCAGCTCTCATCAGCCAGGATTCACACTAGATTCAACAGTAATGACATCCTGTGATTACTGAACACATAAATGTGTTCGTTACTTACTGCACTCTCCTTGGTTGACCACTCGGAGCTCCACCTGTTGTGTGCAGGCCCGCACGTGCAGCTCGCACTCACTGGTGTAGGTGGTGCCATCGTTGCCACACACAGGCTGGTGGGACTCCACACACTCGGACGGACACACACACTGTCCGCTCTGGGCATCGCAGATCGCCCCGAAAGAGCAGTTGGCACAAGTTTCATCTGAGTGGAGTGAAGCGAGATGGCAGAGGCTTAGCGTGTGTTTCAGGTGTATTTACATGACATCTTGTCAGTATTCATAAACATGCTAAAGTCATAGACTGTATAAAAGATGGACGTAGCAACCGGCCCTGAAAAATGAAGCCAACCCGGAAGTGTCAAAAACCTGCAGTATCACTACGTCCACTAGCTGCTGGCTCCAAAAAGCCCTGGCTCCCATAGACTGGAATTGGAAAAGAAGTGATCACAGATCACTAAATATTGCATTCCTCCAGCTCAGGATTTTTTTCTTATTAGTTTTCATGGTCAAGTCCAGAGATCAGGTGGCCAATCTGAAAATAAATCAGTACTGAAATTTTAAAAAATCGTCAACATTTTGCGGGGCAAGGGGCGTGGCTGGCTTGATTGACAGTCGGCAGCGTCCATACAGACGAAGCGAGCAGAAGGTGGTAAATGTGGGCGGGGCAGAGAGGGCCCGCCTCTCAATCCGTCTGACCAATCGCTGCTCCTATAGCTCCGCCCCCCTCCAACGATTTTTGCGTCACTGGCTCCAAAAATCCAAGATGTCAACCAGGAAGTAGCAAAACCCTGGCTTCATTTTCTCAGTGCAGAAACCAACGGGTGACGTCATGGTAGCTACGTCGATCTTTTATACAGTCTATGGCTAAAGTGCATTTCAGCTGGTCTTACTTGTCGATGATCCTTAAGACACCAATCAAGTGGATCAGTTTCCACCTGACTACACATCCTTACAGAAGCTTTGGATTGTTCATCTTTTTATTCTGCATATTCACACAAACTAACACAACTATAGTCACGGCATTGTGCACTTTTATATTTAACTAACACCAAGATAATGTTATTGTGGTAAAAACATCACCACCAGCCAGTTACTTTCAGAAAACCACCACAGTCTTTACTGATTGTTCTCTAGCATGCAGAGCACAAACTGCATCCACTGGACAGTTAAATAGCCTAACTATGTTGTTGTCTTTTCTGTATCTGGCTCTTGATGAGCTGTGTTGCTGAGCTGCACACATACAACAAGGGCAACATGCAAAGTTACCATCCTGACCATAGAGCTGGTGGAAAACTTTACCGGAGTATGCTGAGCTGATCTGAAATAATACAAAACGGCAAACACCTGTCCATTACAAGGTGTCATGGTTCGCGTGCATGTGAGAGGTAAAAGAAATCAAGCCATGAAATTCAATAAGCTCTCTGCAGACAGAATTCCACCAGAAGCACAGATCTGAGCAGGAGGGTGACAAAAAATATGCTAAAGCACATAACGTTCCCAGGAGCACGGTAGGCGCCATTACTAAAGACATTTCAAACACTTTTTCTAGAACTGAAACGAGAAAAAAAAAACTGAACACAAAAAGCTCTGAAAACTCTCCGGCAAAAATGGGACAAGCTAGCAGAAGGAGAAGCATCTCTGTAGCATTCATCAGTCAGGACTTTATGGGAGAGTGGTCAAAAGCTGAAGTTACTCCTGAGAAAAAGCCACAGGAGAGCCTGGATGGAGTTTGCCAAATGACATCTAAAGCATTCAGAAAGCATGAAGGAAAAGATTTTCTGTTCTGGTGAGACAAGAACTGAGCTCTTTGGCTTGAATGCCAATTTATGCATCGAGTGAAAGCCAGGTACTGCTCATCACCTGCCTGCTACCATCCCTACGGGGACGGGCAGTGCCAGTCGTGTTTCTGGGGATACTTCATAGCAGAAGGTTCTGGGAAACCAGTCACAACTGAGTGAGAGGAGTCAACACTTTCTGATTGTATTTATCACTTTGTAGGGCTGATCATATCGGCCTAAAAAAGCTATTTTCCACCACACTTCATACTGACTCAGGCGGACAGTATCGGTGTAGTCTCTCCAAAAGACAGCACTGAGACACCCAGAGGGCTCAGGGAGCTTTGGAGACTTTCCATATTGTTTGGGGGATTCACATGGATTGTCTCTTGAGCAATTGTTTGTTTCTGTAGGCAAAGTTTCTCCCAGAAGAAGCAGCAAGGCAGACACGTAACGGATGCTGAGTGATGTACCGCGAGGTGGCAAACGACTGAGAGGGTAAATGCGAGGCTGTTCATAGAAGCACCTTTCCCTGTGACACCAATTACACCAGGGGGATTGCATTAGCACAGCTCACTATCAAATCAATTAGGGGCAGGCTAATAACCACCACTGATTTAGCACTAATTGAGAGAGGCGAGGCTAGCCGCTGGAACCTTCCATGGCATTAATCTGTTTATTACTCTTTCAGAGAGCTTCATTTCCCTCATCTCTCCATCTAGTGTTGGCATCCACTCCATTCTTGGATTAACAGCCCTGGCTGTGAATTATGTATGGCAATATATGGCACTTAATATACAGAATATTGCCTGTAGGAGCAAATGTGTCATTCTATGTTAGCAAAATGGCCCGCTTTGATGAAAGTCCACCTAAATGAAATGACATGAGCAGGACATGCAGGACAAATGTTTTCCCTAAATGAATGGGTACTTTTCGTCTGAGGCTGTTCCTGATGGTTTGGCCTCGGCTCCTTAGTTCCAGTTGGGGAAAACTTGATGCTAAAGCAACCAGTGAATTTTTTAGCTTCCAATGTTGCAGCAACAGTTTCTGGAAAGCCTCGACCTTTTCACTGAAGCCGTCTCTGCCCACAGAGCAACGTCCTTAAAGGTCTCATGAGGTGAAAATACAATTTAATCTTGTTTTGTATCTCTTAAAAACTTGGTGGTTTTGTAAGATTGAAACTGTGAGAATATGAAGACGCTTACTGTTGCCATTCCTCCACCTCCCCCACAAATAGATGGCTTCCCAGCTTTATCAGCGAGTTACAACTTCATTGAGCTGCTACGTAGAAACTGAGGATCTGCCGCCTCATTGGCTGGGAGGTGACCTTTCCAAAAGAACAGCTACCTCACTAGATTGTAGATTTGCACCTTCTAACTCTAAAATGTCTCAGCTACGAGCAAAGCACATCAAATATTCTGCTGTTAACGGCAAGAGTGAACACAAGAGTCCTCATGCACTCCCCGCATCTGGTGAAGTAAACATCCAGTGGATTACTTTTATCATTGATGTCCCTATCAGAACAGGAAATGCTTTACTGTTATTGTGTTGTGCAGCAAATGGGGCTAACATTACTGTTAGCTGTACTCGTCATTCCCAGCTCTCACTGCTAAAAGACTGGTTTCACTACTGCAGCATCAGTGGCAGATCTTGCTAATACTCTTGTTTGCTGGATGGGAGCAAATCCCTGCAACCAAACTCCAGGATCTTGTGTAAAGCCTTCAGAGGAGGGTCGAGGCTACTTTAGCACCACGTTAATATGCATGCTTTTGGAATAGAGTGCTATGCCGTCACATTAGACTGTATTGTTGGCATGCTTATTTTGATTTTGCCACGTTATTTAAGACAATGTACTGCCATCACTCCTTCTGTCCCTACACTGGGTTTGGGGGTATCAGCTGAAAAAGATATTAAGATGGAGGAGCTCCTCGGAGAAGGTTTTCTATGACAAAAAATAAATAAACATAAAATATAAGTGTGCGTAAAATAGGGCTGCTGCGGTCGTGGCTCCTGTGTGGTTGCGGCAGCTATAAATCAGGAAGTAGCGGTGGTGAGTGTTGTCCTTTATCAGTCCCTGTGTCCTGATAGTAGCCTCGCTTCTTTATCAGCTCCTGCCCCTCGCACCTGGCTCTCCGCGCTGCCTGATCCTCCAGACAACATGCATCACGGGCGGAGAAGGAGAGGAGCTTCAGTTCAAAGCCTGGAGAAGAGCTCGGAACCGTCGCCATAACTGATAATGTTAAGAGCTGCACTTTTTGTCATCTCTGATTCAGTCATCTCCGAGTCTGTCATCACTTCACCACCGCGGAAAGTTCAGACTCTAATGGAAGTCTGGCTGGACCGGCACGGCACGCAGACACGGCAATAAAGAGTGACAAGGCCAGTGTGCTCATATTACAAAACAGAATCTTTCATCTCATTTCCCCCCAATGCAAGAACGCCTCGAGCCAAGACAGATGTACCCTGTATAACCCACAGAGTCCAAGGTCAGAGTAAATAAATAAAAAAGGCCTTTTCATTTGTGCAATAATAAAAGACCTGATATTAACTACATTCCAAAAATTAAACTAAGCATTAACTGAAAAGGTTCCAGTGTTACAGCAGGACAAACTCGGCGACCGTCTGATGAATAAGGCTGAAAGTTGGAACCAGGCTGCTGTCAGATTTGGATGTGCTGTAGCTGTATAGAGACGACCGACCAGCAGATTCACTCCGGATGATATTTATGTAGCACTCATCCTAAGTCTGGCATTTGTCCTCCGACGGGCAGTCGGTGGGTGCCTGTGAAATCTAGATTCCTACAAAGTCAGAAGCAGTCCTCTAAAAACACAATATTAACTTCATATCAGACATACTGGGATCTAGAATTTTAATATTTAATCTAAAAATAGAGTTCCCTTGAAAGCGTGAGGACTCAACTCATCGGGGAGAAACAAAACAAAGAGCCTCGAGCTCTGCAGGCTTTTTTTTGTTGATGTCCTTACAGGGGACAAAGCTGAATTGCAGCTGAGGGGTCTGGTTGCAGTATTAGCTCAGCACTAAGCAGAAGGAAGTGGGCCGGTTTGTGTTTTGAAGGCTTGTGAACATGGCCGGGTGATAACAACTCCCCTGTTGACGCCTGCCTGGCCGCCACACTATTAACTCTGCCTCCTGCTTTCTTCACTCCTCCTCATCTTATTTACCTCAATCTCCTTCCCTCCCCACATTTATCACTTTCTCCTCCCTCTTCCCTCTGCCCTCCTTTCACTGCCTCTCACCACCTCTCTCGTGCTGCCGGCGCGACCTATATTTCTTACTCAACTGAGAATATCATTTCCAACACCTGTGGGAGAAAAAAAAGGAGGGAAGTTGTTATTTCCCTTTCTCAAATGATTCAGGCGCCTCTGCTCTCATCTGTTCGGGTAAAGCCACATGAATGGGAGACGGCTGATATCCAGCTGGGGGGTCTATTAACCGAGAGCACCTCTCCCGGCCCACCGCACAAGGTTGGTCGCCTCTCACATGCGGGAAGGGGGACAAATCTCAGAATAATAACAAATGTCACTCATATTGCTATCAGGTTGCACCTGAGCCATATAGATAACTACTATTTTTCCAGCCTGGAGGGAAGGAAATGAAATTATGGCTGAGTCCATGAGAGGCTGTAGAAAGCCGCACACACACACAGTTAGTTTCCCTGTTGTGGCACTTCTCTCACCTCCTCCACTCTCGCTGCCCTCCCTGCGTCCCCTCAGCTCCCACTGTTGAAGCCATAAATACGGCAGCTCACATTACAGGGCGTTCGGATAGCGAATAACCACCTGAAGGCAGCATTTGTTTTTTTTCCTCTCCTTTCTGCTCCATAAACATGTATATGGTATATTTGTGGTGGGAATAGCCTGTGATAATTAGGTGAGATAATAGCTTAAGTCAGTCAGTTGTTATGGTGCTGAATGAAGCCAGTAAAGCTGTGCAAACAGCCCAGAAATAACCCACATTATCATCGCCATCATTCCTCGGCTGGCTCGCGCTTGGCAAGCCAGTGCCTCAGCGTTTTTATGGCACCGTTGCGCTGACGTAGGCCTGTTCCTCTGGGAGCCAAGAACCATCCACAGTGCTGGATTACAAACAGGGCAGTCCACTCCGCCAGCTCGCTCTGCCTCTCGCTTTTCAAAATAAAGACTATTCATTACCACAGAGGGACCTCGGACCGAGAGAGCTGCCATCTACCTACAGTGTGGCGCACCAAATCGACTGAGCCAGCCTGCCCGCCAACCAAACGCTGCTTTCCATCCATTTCTTGTTGGCATACATCCTTACACACACGCACTGGATTTCAATTTGATTTAATGCTGGGAGGGGAATATGACAGATGCAATACACAGGCAGGTGGAGAGTCCAAACAGGACTTCTCCAACAAACCAAGTCTCTCATCGACTCAAAAAAACTCAAATCACAGCTCGTTAAAATGACAAGTTTGCACAAAGCTGGGCCCATAAACTGCAGTCTTTAGGACAAAACGGTGGAGAGCAACTTCACAACAGCGGAGAGAAACCAATTCAGTCGTATTGATCACTGTACTAAGTGTTCAGCTCATTCACAGATACAGCACCGCAGAGACCAACTGATTTCAAATGTCTTCAAAATATGCAGGAAAAACATCTATTGTAGTAAACCTGAGTGAATGAGGTAAAGCGAGCGAGCTGGGCCAAGGGGCTAATAACCGCCGTACTCCTGCCCGGTGTGTGTGAAAAGCAAATGGCTTGATTGTAGACAAGGAAGAATACTCAATCACCAATTAGAGTTCATGGGAAAATTGGCCTTGCAAGATGGCATTAAGTCATCAAGAGCATTCACTAAGTGGGTGTACCAAGCTGCAAAAACCTGTCCATATGGCCGTGTGCCTGCATAGTGAATATGAAGATATTTTTACCACTTGAAGCTCTGCTGGTGTGCTAATGACTAGCTGATACGCCGACACTGCAAGACAAAGCCAAGTGACTCATGTAGCCAATTACAGGCAAGTATGCTCCACGCTCTGTTTCACTGGGAGTAAAGTGCATCTTCACTTAAAGGTCAAAACAGGCAAATTGGAGTCTTGGTGTTGAAGAAGAGCACTCGAGGGTTGAAGAGTAGCATTTGTAAGTATTGTATTATTGACTTTGTTGGATGTCAGGGGGGGCAAACATGATTACAGCACTTTATGCGTGTTAATTGTTAATTGTTACCATCTCTGGGTTAGACTTTAGCCTCTGAGTGATGCAGCACTATTAATTAGTTTGAGCTGATTTCTATTCCACAGGGAGACGGAGGGCTCCTTCCCTACCTCCAACTCACTTATCTGATCGCACTCTGACTGCACTATGAATCGTACGGTCCACGCTGCTGCGGCTAGCTAGTGATTATTCCCATTGTTGATTCATTGATTAGTTGTTTGGTCACTAAAATGTCGGAAAATTATGAAAAAAAAGCCAGAAACATTGTTTACAACCCAAAGATATTCAATTTACTGTTGTAGAGGAGGAAAGAAATCAGAACATATTCACATTTTAGCACCGGAAATCAGAGAATGTTGACTTTCATTGTTAGTTGCTGATGAATGTATTAATTGCCAAACAATTGCTTAACTGATTAGTCTAATAAATGCATGCAAGGTGCTACTAGACTTAATTTAAGTGGCTCTGCTCATGCAGTTACTCACCACAGGGTCCTTTGTGTTGGATGTGGATGGCCTTCTGCAGGGCGCAACCCATTGCTCGCATCTCACACGGGCTGCCGTAACTGTGGCCGTCAGATCCGCACACGGGGTCGGATGTTTGCGGACAGGCCTCGGGGCACTCGCACACCGGCTCATTGTTCTTGACCACGCACACTGCCCCGTGGTCGCACTCCTTATCCAAACAGGGGCTGGGTACGTGGAGATCTGAAGGCCGTGCAAGAAGATAGAGACCAAAGTTAGAGGGAGGATATTAAGCGGGGCAGCTGAGAGATGGGGAGAATATAAAGCAGAGGTTGGAGAAAGGTCTGGGTCTGGAGAGGGCACAGGTGATAGGGAGGCAAGTTAGAATATAGGTACCTGGAGGACTGCAGGTCTTTGTGTTAGAAAGGGTTTGGGGGAGGAAAACCGATAGGATGGAATATGCAATACGGCCCTACTCCTGTGACACCTCTGCTTCCTCAGCTTCCTATGTCATTTCCTCGCCATTGTGCCTATCCCGCTGTATCCTGAATCTTTGAAGAGTCCACCGAATCCGGTGGCATGAGGACAGAGGATAAAAACATGGCCCTGTAGCACAATAGAGATGAAACAACCGGCGAACAATGGTTGCGGAGTCTTTTTTTATTTTTTTTTTTACATTTTTTTTCAGGCAAGTAAACGCCTGGATTAATTGACGTTCCCAGTGTGCCCCTTCAAAGGCTGCCATTTGCATCTCAGTGAGAGCCACTGCTTCAGCCAACGCTGGTTGAACTGACATGGAGGAGCAAGGAAAGGAAGAGCGTGGGGGGGGATAGAGAGTCTGTACGAGGGAGAGAGAAAATACAGAGAACGAAAAACGAGAGAGAGAAAAAAAGAAATATGCGAAGAGAAGAAAGAACCCTCTGCTTAATAATTCAAAAAAGGCAAGCTCCTGGGCAGAGGCAGATATGAAATGCGAACATCAGAGGTGTCTGCTTCAGTCTCTCCCTCTCACACACTAACTCCAGCATGACTTCATTAAAACCAGGACTGGATTTTGCACCTATGATTCTTCGTGGCCACAGATGCATGGAAACTGGGCTGATAGGACCCGACTCGATCGGGAGAAAGTGGAACAAATCTTTGATCACAACCTCCCGTCCTGACCCAATCAGTTCTTTGTGTGTGAGTGAAAACACTGCATGCCATTCTGAGGTGCCGGTATGTGAGCTTGGTGTTTGGAGATAGAGGCCTTACAGTGGGACAGTACACACCGGCGTACTGAGAGCAGCCCGAGCACAAGGCGATAACCTGGCTCCATAGTGATTTTCATTTGAAGGGTTTCACGCATGAGGGACGGATCACTCAGCTAAATGCAGTGTGTCTGCAGATTGCGGGAAAACGCAGACGGAGGCATCAAATCATTTCTGGTGAAAATTGAAAGAGGTGCATTTCACATCCAAAGTTTAACAAAAACTTCCTCCTTTCTCTGCTCTACCTTTGGTTAGGAGGGTGCTGGTGCTGTCATGGAAACTGCCCCTTGTAATGACACCACCCATGGCTCCATCATTACTGAGACCATTATGGGATTAGATGGCAACACAGGGGGGCAGAATTGGCATGCTCGGAGCCTCATGATTCATTTATCAGCTCGGAGACGTTGAGTAGAGCCTCGACGTGTACCGCTAATGCAGGGCTAAATTATCAATTGATAACACAGATGGTGGCAATTAGCTTGTTTCACTCTGATTAAGGCGATGGGAAGAGTATGTGAGATAACGATCGATGTCAGCTGAACATCTTGTGACCGGTCCAAGTGGACGACGTTTCTGGAATATGATAAACAGCGGCGTGAGGATGGGATGTTCCTCCTATGAGCCCTAAACCCCGTCGGCAGCTTAAAAAAATCACAAAACTATATCATTTATCAGAGCCAGAATCTTCAGCAAGAATAAATTGTTTGCGCTAAACATATTTGGTAACTAAACACAACTAATTTCTGAGCTCCGTTAGTGTTTTAGCTGCAAAACAAAGCAAAAATGTAGGCACTTTTTCAGCTAAACTGGGGGGAACTTATTATTATTGTTGCTGCTGTTGCTGATTTTGAATGATTTTGATTTTGAATTTTGAATGCTGTTGTTGTTGCTGATTTTATGTTGGTGTTGTGTTTTTTTTCTTTTTTCTGGTGTAGCAATTTCCCTGACGTCTTGTACCGAAGGGATCAATAAAGTTTTATTCTAATTTTTTTTTATTCTATTCTAAGTGCAGGCTGTGTTAGCACAGAGCAGAGTTACCATTTTCCAGTATTGGTGACGCTGGTTGGCACATGGAGAAATGTTGTAGACGCTGAAGGTTTGCTTTCAATTTTTGCAAAATAAGTAAACAAAATTAAACTTTTGCTTTTTCCCTCTTTTTATAATTTATGCATTATAATCGTGTTCTGCATTTAGACAGGTTAGAGTTCCCTCTGCTTCCTAATATTGCAGTAAAAATGTGACCGGAGCAAAAACCATCCAGAAACTGCTTCTGGTTCAAATCAGATTAAAATAACAAAGTGCAGAGGAAACAATACAGGTTGTCCACCTGAGTTTTTCGACTAAGTTGCAGCTGAAATTGAGCTAATTTTTCTGGATCCCGAGCGAGGATGCAGGCTCTCTCATTTCCCAAAGTGAATGTTTCAGATTAGAAGGTGGAACACTGCTATTGATTTCTGTGTTTTGATGCCAAGCTGCTGTTTCAAAAGAGCTTGGAGGTGCCACATAAATTTGTAAGCTGCTCAATGCTGCTTATTTGGGTACCGTTTCTAAAACAATTGATTCCCCGTGATCTCATTTAACACCTTGTGTGTGTATCTGCAAGTGTGTGTGTGTGTGTGTGTGTGTGTGTGTCAGCTTGTGATCTGGGCTTAACTATACAACCTTGGCCTCCATAAAGTTCACCAGCCCACTTACCAAGGATGGGCTCCTAAAACACAACTGCAGCCTCCGATAACGGCTTTGTCTCCCATTCTCTTTGTTTCACACTCATAAAAAGATGAAAGAATTCTCCTCCAAAACTAATTTTTTATCATCCTCTACCTCTGGGGGGCAAAAACTCTGCCTGACTTATTAACTGGAGACGGTGTAAGGGGGAAAAAAAAGAAAAAAAAAAGAAAAAGACAAATCTCCCCAAGTGTAAAAATCTTGAAAAGCTGTCTTTTAACTCTCTCTTGGATGCAGGCAGAAGCTTTGAAATGGCAGCCTGTCACAACTAAGGCTTTTCGGATGGTGTTTGCAAGCCTTTTCCAGCTCTCTTTCTCTCCCTGGTCCTCTCCCAAACACTTAAATCCATCCTTTCATGCATGTATCAGTGTTTCTGTCAGGCAAGTCCAGAATAAACCAAAGTTGCTGGGTTTAAACCAACCTATTTATATGTGAAAATTAGCTTGACAGTTGAAAGGGAACATCTGTAGTTCCAAACACAGAGCGCGCTGGCCAAGGCATTGTTTTAGTGGCTGAGCAGGTGCAGTGAGGTGTCATGGAAAGTCAGGGGAGAACAGGGGGACGGGGAAAGAGGAATAATTTTTTCTAATCAAGGATTCTCTCTGAGCGTGCTCTCTGCTCTGCTTCTGTACTACCACAGCGAGCTGAGAGGATTTTACATTCTGGGTGCCACCTTAGTGTGTATCCTCCCCTGCCAGCCGCTGTGTAACTTTTCTCTTTTAATTAGTGTGGTATTTTAATAGCGTGGCCCCACTTTAGCACTCGGAGGGGATTACTTCAAGTTCCGTGTCAGCTCTCCCCAGCAGAGGCACTGGTGGGCCACGGCGAATACTGAGAGGGCACAGCTATCTGATGTCCTGATATGCGCTCACCTGTCCGCCTCAAGTATTATTACTGCCCACTTAGTCGTGTTATCTGACAGATAAAGTGGCGCGAACACCACAGTGTAACTTCTAAAGCCTAACAACCCCTCGTTAGGTTGCTGCGATGGCACAGCAAGCTGTGATAGGACTCGGGCTGCGACTCTGTGGTTGCTGCTGCTGCTGCAGCAAAGCAAGCGTACACTGTTAACCCCCCCGTAACATGTCAGGGAAATGCTGGGAGATTATTTTGGCGAGCGCTTCCTCCCATCTCCGCTCAGCTCATACATATGTTAATTGGACTTTTCCCCCTCGGGTCTGTGTGCACTTCCAAATCGCTCCCCATATTATGCAGGCAAGTGAATCAGTGTAATCCAGGTGATGCTTGCAGTAGCCAACTGGCAGGAGAATCACCTCCAACTGCAACCTATTACAGGACAGGACTGCGATAGTGCACAGCCAATCTGCAGAAAAACCCCGCCTTCTGTGTGTCTTCACCTGCGGGGCTTTGATCTGACTCCCTTTGCCTCCCTCACATTAAAAACATTTATGTATCATATTAGTCGAGGGAAAGGGAGGTGCAGAGAAAAGGCTATATTAGCATACAGCAAAAGGCATACCCGCGGGCCGTGTCTGTCTACCACTGAATACTTATCACAGGCAGGAGTCGAGCTGAAGCCTCTTTGTGCATTTACAACCAAGAACGTGCTGTTCTTCAAAACAGAGACAAGCAAAAACAGCATGGGGGGAAGAAGAAAGGCGAGCTGGGACGCCTGATCTCGTGACATGTCTCTATCAGAGGTGAGATGACGTGTAGACGCTGCTGTCTCATCCCAACAACTGGTTTATCAACGGGATGAGCGCGACACACAAAGTTTCCTCACATCGACGAGAACACGAGCAAAAACCGAACCGCGGCATTTATTACATGTCGATTCAAGTCAGGCGCCGCAGCACGGAAAGAGCCACAGAAGCAACCAGAAATGAAACCAGAAATGTAGAAATTGGAAGAACCGCATGGTTGATCGTGGCCCAAAGGCACACAACACCCACAATGCCTCGATTTGCTTCTGACACCTTGTTGACCCACATTTCTCTGCAATTTCTGCTCAATGACAGCCCGCGGCCCGCAGTAAGTGGACTGGCGGTCCCTAGCTGCTGTCAATCTGGCTCCCTTGGCACTTACTCTAATTAACTTGATTAGGAATAACAGCACTGGTGATCTCAGGCTGACTTACACACTCCAGCTCCACAACTGTTTGTGAGTCCAATCACAGACACGCAGGCGGAGATGCTCATCAGATAAACATGCAAATGATAAAATATTCTGCACTGAGTCTTGACACCTAAGGTGACTGATTTTTCTTTCCTGCTTTGCAGAGCTCTCTGTCAATGACAACGTGTC